ATTTAATACAAAAATATCCAAAACGTGACAATTCTGTAGTTTTATAAGGCATATAAAATCTACGAAAGTTCTATCGCTTCGCGAAAATACATGCCGTTCCGATAGTAAACAATGTATTCGTGTAAAATTAACACTGGTGGCGCTGTACACATTACGTCATTTCTATTTTAACTTTACGACCGCGATCATGCATATCAATACTTTCAGCGAACCATGTTAGTATATATTACCCCATTTTTAAGATTTAATTTGAGCACTAGAGATCTGCTCAGAGTGCACCAGAGAGCATCTAGGCCTAAAAATTTCCCGGGCCCTAGGCGGGCCCTCGACCCACGCCTAAATTGTTTCGTTCCTGTGCAAATCTCCATCCTCAACAATTTGCCTGGCCGTGAATTTTTAAACTATATTGGCCGAATTTTGGAAAAGTTTACATTTTTTTAAAATATATAATATATAAAATATTTATTTATGTAGAGGTTCTATCTCTTTTGAATATAAATTTAATACTGTACTTTAATTAATTTATTATTGCCCACTTGAATTGTATACCTAGGCCTATAGGTGCTGCGAGTGTTCTTTATGTAGAGCGCTATATAAATGCTGTGATCATTCAGGTCCGATGGCACCTATCAAGCAAGGGTTGCAGAAAAGTTACGTTACTCTGGAGTTAGGTTGTATGAGAATGAAAAATAATTCTAGTGATAGCAGCATTGATTAACTTAATTCATTCTATTAGAATATAAGGAGAGCCATGGATTTGCCAATAACAGGCCCTATGGACTACAATACGGTACCTTAAATTAAATTTAATATTTAATACATTTAAATCAAATTTAGATCAATCTTAATATGTGATTTTAAATAGCAGAGGCGAATTTAGATGTGGGGGTTGCAAAAAAAGAAAAGAAAAATTGATCGCATGTATTTTAAGGTGATAGATTAGTTAACAGAAGAAACACAGTGAAAGTTTAACAATGGTTTATTCATTTCATTTCATTTATTTATTTTCCAGATTGTAACAAATCACAAACCTAGCACTGGCGGATTGTCAAGAAGCAAACAAATTCACTATAAAGACTCTCCAACTACTGTAGTACCCACTGTTATCTTCTAATCGGATAAAATCTGGCCGAATTTTGGCCGATACATACTGTATGTCGAAAAAAAGTTTGGCCGAATTTGGTCGTGACGGAGATAACGTGTGTTTGGCCGTGAAGCCTGCTTTGAGCCTGTCGACTATCTGGCAACCCTGTTCAGTAACGTGACCCGTCATGGAAGAATCGATAACGACGAAGCTCTTGTGATGAAAATGTTTTATTTTAGTCTTTTGTTGTGGTTAGTCAGTAAATCAGTTATTTTAGTATGTCGTATTAGAGTAACACTTTACTTGCAGATATGTAGTATGTTGATGGGAAAATGGGACACATTATTTAATACTATTTAACATAAGTTTTGTAGAGGCTGTGTCTGAAATGTATCATCATTGACTGGACGTACGCATGCTTTGAAGAATGTAACAAGGGCTCCAGTCATGGGCTAGGCAATTTGCTTTCCAGAGCGAGGAATACACAAAAATATACACACATATATAATTACAAGACAACTATAAATATAAAACTATACATTTCAAAAATATACAAACAATAAATACAAATAACACTAACAACAGTCTAGTTAGGCCTAAGTGTAAAAGAGTTAAAATTTAAAAACTGAATAAAAGATCCTATCTGATGAATACATTGTAAATAGATGACAGGTTTAAGGCAAGAATGAGCTTTTACATCTGTTTGTTTTCACACAGGGTTGGCAAATCCTACCTGGGGCCAGATTTATCAAACTAGAAATCAGAAATTAAATTCATCTCAAGTCCATTTTTTTGCTTAAGTCAAATTTATCCATATTGCTTAGCTTAAAATTACTTAAAATTAGAAAGTCGATTGTATGTTGGTGCCATCTAAGACGATTTTTAAGCCAAGATTTTGCTAAGATTGGGTAATAAATTAGCTTAAGATATTTATTAGGGACATCTTAATTTTTTGGACTTGAGACATTTGCTAAGCTGAGATTGATAAATCCCAGGCCTGATCTATTAAAATTGATATACTTATCTAGTGAATGAGTATTGTCAGTGATAATAAATCCAATTTTTTGAGCACATATTCGTCACACAGATAATTTATACTTTCAACATCATTGCCAATGATTTTCCTTACTGCTTTAGTTATTTTCGATATTTGATCATTATTTTTCTTTGTTTACACTTGGCAACCAGGCGATAGAACAGAAACATAGAATAGATTTGATGACACACTGATAGAAAAGAAAAAGTGTATCTTGGCCAACATTAAATTTGTAAAGCTTCCTAAGGAAGAAATGTTGTTGACTGGCTTTTGAGTACACAGATTGAGTATGTACACTCCAATTAAGATTATCATCAATGTCAAATTATATCTGGGGCGGATGCAGGTGGTGTTAAGGCCCCCCCCCCCCAAATTGTATTAAGAAAAATAATTGTATTGTTGATATGAATTATTTGTAAGATTTTTAAGGTACGACAGTGCAATTTCCAAGCACCTAGCAGGGGCGGATCCAGGATAAAAAAAATTGGGGGAGGGGGGTTCAACATGTTTAAAAAAAAAAAGCGCAAAATGAAAGCGGATTCCTAGATGGCCGGAAATGAGCTTTCTCGATTTCTGATGAGTCTTTAATGACCTTTAAGTTCTTCAAAATTCAATGTTTTCCCCACTTGAAAAAAGGTCAGGTAATTTTGTCTCATTCTTTAGGTCTATAATGGAGGAAAAAATCAAAAACATGCCTAGGCAATATATTATTATATTCCAACAACATTGAGTAGTTAGATATTTACGGTAGTCTTTCTTCCATGGATCGATGAACCGATAGGCCTGAAGAACGCACTTTCTTACATAAATTATTACGACGGCGAACAAAAAACAGTGTGTATAATTTATTTACCGGTAATTAAAACTAGTTGGGTTAAGCCTAGTTTTTCCGATCTGCCAACCTCTGCCAAGGTAGGTTAGCATGCTTTTTGTAATCCAGCACCCCAGTTGTATTTTAAAATATGAGTATGGTGGCTCCGAAAAATGACAGACATGATATTTTGATTTTGATATTGCCTTTTCCTCTTTGATATGGTTGTCACACGGACGACTTATTACTGTATAATATTTTACTCGTCCTCGTACATAATGTTGTTTTTCATTCACAGAAAAGTTAATCCAACAGATAATCATCTGAAAATGCTTAATGAACCAGACAACTTTGGCTCTCTATTATTGCAGATTGCGGAGGTAAATTATTGGTACAAATAACCTGATCATTTGTCACTTAACTGAAAAGTTAGTAGGGTTTTTGATTTTTTAAATGTTTTATGGGTTTATCAAACAGAGTGTTAATTTACTTACATGAACATTTCCAGTAATTTTGGTAGGCAACTATGATGTTATGATACAATTTAAGATAAGAAAAAGTCTATATTTTGTATTAATCTTGTATAGATTAGAGATTCTGATTGTGATAAAAAGTTACCTAAATTGTCCTTTATTGTCCTCAGTATTACTGTTATTGTTGGTGTATTTGTTATTAGAAACAATGTATAATTTTTAAGGGGCTATCCATAATTATAAACATTTTCAAAAGAGTACAAGCGTACGCTTAGGTGGGAGGGGTACCCTTTTATGAAAAAGATAAAATGTTGATCTCAAAATGACATAAATCAACATTTTATTGTGTACTCTTTTGGGGGAGGGATTGGGTCACAGAAAAGAGTATGATTTGTACTCTTTTGAAGTTTTTGAAAATTATTAATGACCTAATAACTTTTTTATATATTATAATATTGTGCCATTCTCATACAGTAGCAGCTCAGTTACAATCATACATTTATTTATCATTATTATAATCATTAGTTTATTGTCATTCTGTTGTGAGCGAATTCAGAAAATGTAATTTTATATATTTCAGTAGATGGTTGATGTTCATTCCTTAACCGCTCTGCCAATCAACTCGTCGGACATACAATCCAGGCCCGTAGCCAGGTCATTTCAAGGGGGGTTTCTCTGGGCATGGGGACCAGGGGCCTGCCTAAGGGCCCCCGGCTTCGCCCCCGAAGCCAGAGCAGTTTTTGTGTTTAATGGGTCTATACAATGTTGTAAAAGCAGTTATGTTTTGAAAAAGATCTATGTAATAAAAAGGTGGTAATATAATAAAATTAGAAAATATTTTCTGAGAATTGGCATGTTTAAATCACACTGAAAGATATAAAAAAAATCTCATCGCATAATCAATGCTCAACACATTTATTATTATAAAACACAAAAAAAAGCTATTCTTCTTCTTCTACCTCTTCCTATTCTTCTTCTTCTACTACTTCTTCTTAACTCTCATTTTGTACACTGAAAATAATAGTACTATTTTACTACATGGCTTAAAAAGGCACAAATATTGTCATGACTACACTGACAGCGCCATCGTTAAATTAAGTCAGAGCCCAAAATATAGTATCATATTCAGTACGTCATCTGACATCATGAGAACCTACACTTTAATTACAATTATTTGTTATATACTATGCCTAATTTTAAATTATTATTTTAAGACTTTATAACATAATACATACTGATTAATAATAGCTGAGATTTGATGCACATTTTAGAATTAATAATCGTTTTTAGTATATTTTACTGAATATTTATTGTCTACCAAATGAAATATGAATTATATGCATCTTTAGAAATACAATTTCTACAATATTAATCTTGTTTTTATATAGATAAATGTTTGATAAATTCTATCTTTCAAAAAAAAAAAAAACGAAATTCAGCGCGTCTATTTTCATTCTAATCAATGGCGTTTGTAAACGTGCACGGACGTGTATTGTACTCAGGCCTAGGCCTACACTAGTTTGTTGTCGTCGGGGTAGAATTCTATTTCTAAATGAACAAGGAGCGAACCTAGCTAGTCAACATCTAGGCTAGGCTAATTGATTTTGAAATCAATAACCCACCTTAAAGGACTACCTGTCGTTTTCTTCTTTGCAACAGCGGACGAAAAAAAGTCACTTATTCTACGACGTTTCATGATTCTTTATCAATAAAAATTAATAAACACTCGTTTTCACGCACTCGCCGTTCTGTAGTGTGTGTCTGCTGTTGAAAACAAAATTCCTAGTCTAATTTTGTGACTGGCTATGATGACTGAGATGGACCCTGTTGATTTATTAGTAATATTTTGTTTGGGATGGAAAAAAGGAGAGTCCATTTCCCCAAAATGCTCCATCAGCACATAGTTTAGTGTGCACATGGACAGTATGGCTATGGAATTTACTAACCACACAATCCACAATCAGGTGATTAAGTCGCAAAATTTTAACTGCATTTGGTGGATTAAGTCGCAAAACTTTAGCTTCGTTTGGTGGCACCATTTACTCTAGGTAGACGGTGACCGATTTTGTTACCGGTTGGTACATTTCTTACAAACATTCAGCCAAAGGCCAGTGAAAGTTGAGACGGCAGCCGGGTTTTTATCGATGTTTGCCATCCTTATGTGTGCCATCGTAAGGTCATGGTTTGCTGGAGTTGCATTCAATTTAAATCTCCGAACTTCCGAAGCTGAGATATTCTATGAATGCAGGCTTGTATCGCAGGCTACAATTTAAAAACGGGTGACCAAATAATGAATTAGGTGCTAAATTTTTATTTAATGCTGGGTAAGTTAAAAACAGACATTCCGAATTCAAACAATTCAAAAATTCGAGGGGGGTTTGCTAGAAAACAGGGGGTTTCGCCCGAACCATAAAAACCCCCCTGGCTACGGGCCTGCAATCCACATAATAGAACAAACAAGAGGATGATACATTTTTCCAAAAAATTCAGTAGCAGTTCGATGATGATAAATTTGTCTTCCAATTTCAATACGGAAGTTCTCCCAAAAAATTCAATAGCAGTTCGATGATGATAAATTTGTCTAACAATTTCAATATGGTAATAAATTTCATAGGAGTGATGTTTTGCCCTACCTGATGGGTATTTTACTGAACACAAACTATCTTTTTCATGAATTCAAAGGTTTAAAGAAACATTTTGCATATAAACCTTAATTGAACTTTTACAAGTAAAGAATAATGCACAAAAGGATAAACTATCCATAGGTACAGTAAAAGATTATGATGAATCATTTTTCCTTGAGCAGTTATGTATGTTCAAGTAATTTTTTTTTTTCAGGTGGTTGATATTATGAAGAATGTTTCAAAGCCAGTGCAACAACTTTTTGTTCATGTACCAGGAGAGACAGTCTTATGTGCAGACATTAGTGTGCATGAACCAGTGGAGTGTCTTAAAATGTTTTTGAGATATGAACTACAGAATAGAGCAAATTTCTACACTACAAGAAATAAAAAGGTATTGCTTATAGGCTAACAATCGTGATAATGAATATTATCATTATTATACTGTAGTCCAGTAGCAATTTAATAATAATGATACAGTATATGATGCATCCACTTTAATGGTAGAAGTCTGGAAAAAAAATTTTCAAATTGTATTCACTTAAATTTAATTTTTATATTATTTCAGTAACGGAAACATGGATGGATTGTACAGCCCACTTATTCAAATACTTAATTATTCAGTTTTTAAACCCTGTTTTTAGAAATGTCTATGTTTATTAACAACAATACTTACTCAACCCTCTGTCCAGACAAAATTTAATTGTTGGTGCACAAAATTTTTGAAGGGTGGATACATTTTGTGGTATACCACTACTTATGACCTGTGTCCCGAGGAATGACCTGTGTCCCAAAGTTTATATTTAATTTACTTGATACCTCTAATTTCAAGATTCAAGATTTTTATTGTTTCGAAAGCCATCGAGGGCTATTATCCACTCATTAACAAATAGCAATACAAAATCAACCAATAAATATCTTACATTACTAGTTATTTGTCTAAATTAATTTTAGTCTCAATGGGGGAAATAAACAAAGGGTCAATGATTAGGTTGTTGGCCATTTCAATTGCATGAGGAAAGAAAGATGTCAAGAACCTAAATGAACGACCAGAAAATCAAAGAAACTGGGTATGGTGGGAGTTTCTAAGAGAGATGGAACAATTACGGCGTGTGGGGGGAGGAAGGGATGTAGGGGATGATTTGAATTTTTGGCAATCTTCAGTTTCAGTTGATTTCGTTCGGGAAATCCAGACGCAAAAGGCGCCCTCCTTTTTCCACCAATGGAGGAAAACGTTTTCACTAAGAGGGCGTCCGGCCATGCGATTCTGCGCTGTATTGTTGTTTTATTCTTTACTGATTCATGACTATGCTTTAATTGTTTTGTGTATTATTTGGATAATAGCAACGATTTCTACCGTCACCAAGGAGGTTATGTATTCACCAATGTCACTGTCTGGGTGTCTATTCCAGTTTGTTTTTATATCTAGTATCTTTGTTGAGAATTGATAATAAAATACGCGACGACTTGGTAACGAAAGTTTGGCACAAGTTTTTTTGGATCCAGCTGTAGGGGGCGTCCCATTTTTTGTATTCCCACCATGCATTTCGGTGTAACACGGTGGAACACTTTTTTGGTGTGGAGAACTCTATCTTGTATTTCTAGTATCTTTGGTATGAATCGACTTGCATGACGTGTCAATTGGAGCCATCCAGTTGATTTAACTTCTAGGGAATTTGCCTCTTTATACTTTTGAAACTATTCTACTGATATATTGATTATAATTATATTGTTTGAAAGAAATAAATGGAATTTGAAATGAATTGAATTGATAATGAAAAGAAAAAGACTTGTGAATTTTCTTTAGTTAATCTAGTGTCAATTTTTTATAAGTAAAAACAACATTTACTTATAAAAAATTGACACCGGATTAACTAAAGAAAAAAAATTTCACAAATAATATACTGAATCCAGAATGAATTTATTTCCTATGAAAAGAAAAAGACTATAATATTACAAATTAAATGAATATTGTAATAAGTTAGTGGTTCTCAGTGTTTTTTAAAATGTTAACATTATGCACCCTACATCTAAACTAATCAATCTTAATACCAACCAAGAAAATTAAGGGTAATAATTGAGATCATCGCAATGCGCTGGCAATTTTCATTGATTACGCTCTCAAATGAAATTGTCTTGTCTACTTTTAATCAATGTTTGTTGGAAACCATATAACTGGAAACTCTGTTAATCTTTCAACCAGATAAATTTTATTAATAATGTATGTAAACAGGTATAGAGAAAATATATGCTTGCTTGAATTTGTGAGCGATGGGTTGGTTTGCAGGGATATTTTTCCTTAATTTTTAGTGGGGAGTGTCCACACTGACTGACAGGGCCCACTGTAAATAACAAGTTTAGAAACAATGTACTACAAGAATAAACCTAAATTGACTATGTTTTGTAACATATGTTTTTTTGACAGCTAAAAACTGATTTATCATTCTATGAACAAGGCTTAGAAAATGAATGCAATATTTTCATTCGATTCAGTGAAGGACTTGTAGGAGGGTCAGGTAACTTTCCACAGGAACCCTCCAGTAAGTTGCAGATTTTAATTTTTTCACATTTAAAAAAATATTATTATTGACATTATTTTTGCCGTTTATTGTTACTACTCTTACTGCATTATTACTAATTTAAGTTTCAAAAGTCATTGTAAATGTAAAATCTTATACATATATCTTTGATACTGATGTCATCAAATTTGCTGAAAGTAAACTTGAATTTCCACACACCAGTTGGTTATGAATAATTGTTTGCATACATGTATTATTGGTCATCTATTTGTGCCCTATTGCTTGAATACATTTATAAAATATTAAACCATGTACAAAAAATCAAATAATTATTGTTTTAGATTAGAGGACGTTAAAAATTCTTAACATTTGCATCTGAATTACGAATATTACTGTATATTACAGGTATATATTGTACTGTATTAATATTTTATTATTGAGCTGTTTTAAAGACAGTTGCATGTTTGGGAGCCTTGAAA